GGTTCGAGCACCGTTTAAGCACCGGCACCGTTTCAAAAGTACCGATTTGGCACCGGTATCGGATAAAACCTAAACGATACCCATCCCTAGGGGTGAGTTTGCAAAGCAGCGTCCTGTGAAGGCTTAAGTGACAGCAGCTCAGACGAAGGAAAAATACATTCTCACATTAAAACACCAGACTTTTCTTCCCAGCTCCCAGAAACCAGCAGTGACTGGAGCTTAAGCTCTTTGTTTTCCTGCTCTTGTTACACAAATAAATGTTTTAGTACAGCAGCCAAAAACAAACAAACAGCAAACTGTTAAGGAGGTGAGCTGCACTCAGACTTTGGAGTTTGAGCCACAGTAGGTGGATCATTGTAAGCATTTTGTAAAAAGCGTGCATTTCAGTGTTGCTCCTGACGGAGTTTAGAGCTTGCAGTGAAGAGGCTCAAAGGCTAAGCATAGATGTCTGCTTTGGGTTTTTTTTGGTGTTCCAGGCCTGTTGAATCCCATGAAGAGGGAGCTGCTGTTGAGGCTTCAGTCCGAGATTGAGAATGTTACAGACTCCTGGCTCAGCACTGCGCTCAAGTCTCTGCTGCTCATCCAGTCCAGGTTTGAGCACCTCAGGTTATCGTTTTATCGCTCGTAGGTAGTATGTCGTAGATTAGTCACTCCTTGTTAAAATATTTTGTTTGCATCTTTGAGATTCACCCTTAACCCTGAGTTATTGTAGGGTCTTTATCTCACAATTCAAACTGCCTTGTGGCAACTGTTGTTGTGATTTGGTGCTGTATAAATCAAATCAAGTACAGTTGAATTGGATGATGATGTTATAAATCTGTGTGTGTGTGACACCCACCAACAGGGGGAAGTGTATGAACGTGTTGGTCACCACGACTCAGCTGGTTCCAGCTCTGGCCAAAGTGCTGCTCTACGGCCTGGGAGACGTCTTCCCCATCGAAAACATCTACAGTGCCACAAAAATAGGTACGTATGCAACCTGATTACTCTGTGTCAAATTAAAAAAAAAAAAAGATCTGTTTATATCTTTATGTGATTCTTTATTTTCCTTTTCCCTGCGGTTTCCTGTCATGTAGGAAAAGAGAGCTGCTTTGAGAGGATCGTCTCTCGCTTTGGGAAAAAAGTGACTTATGTGGTGATCGGTGATGGCCGAGATGAGGAATTTGCAGCAAAACAGGTAAAACTCCATTTTTGCCTTTTTTTTTCTTAAACTATTTCATTTCAAATTGGATGATCTGCAGCATTTTATGATTTTTGACCCATTTTAATGGAACAATTTGATTGTGTTTTTGTGTGGACAGGCAGAATTTCAGATTTTTAGGAAAAAAGATGCAGGTACACGTTCCACATGGTTTTTGTTGTCTTTTTTCTTCCTGATCACGAGATCATGTACCAGGAAAAAGAAACAAGGCATGGTTTACTAGGAGAATATGATCCTGGATGACATTGACTTATTTATTTACAGTGTGGTATGAAAGATGGTTTATAACCAAAAAACAAAAAAGATACATGAGACATTTTTCCACCTGCTGAAGTTACTGTTTAGACTGACTTGAATTTTCAGAGCAGGTTCATCCTAGATCCTCTCTGAGAAAGTACCTGAATGGTACAAAGTTAACCTGTCAGGAAAAAACATATAAGATGAAAAGGACAGGGGAAGCTGGTTGACAACGAGTGAACTTTCAAAATAAGAGCCAGGAAGTTGTGGGGGTTTTTTCATGTATTTTTAAGAAGTGATTATAAATGCAGGGATTTTCTTGCATGAAAACACTCTGCAGTAAAGTGGTTTTAAGAGATGTTTAATTAGTCAAACATTAAATATTCCTTTGGATGTTTGCACAATCTGTTGGAGCGGTCTGACTTAAAAGTTTAGTGACACACACCCCCCCCCAAACCCTGATTTTTCTACAATTAAACTAAATAAAGTTGCCATATGTAGACGGGAGACCCACAAACATAATGTCTCACATGGACAAAACACTTTGTTAGGCTGTGCTCTTTACAATTACACACTTGTGCCTAATTCTTTGTCTCCTTACCTCTGCAGCACAACATGCCTTTCTGGCGGATCTCCAGTCACGGCGACCTCGTGTCCCTTCACCAAGCGCTGGAACTGGACTTCTTGTAACGAGGATGCTGTTGAATGTTGTGCACTCAAAGGGAAAAATGTTGTCGTCGTACTGGTGACTTGTGGAGTGAAACTGTGTGTGGAAAAATTCTCCACAAGCCCAACAATCCACACTCACCTGTTAGAAATCTGCTCTCGCTGTCCGACGACTTGCAACTCGCTGTGTGTTGGTGAACGCTTTGAGGCGGACTTTGGGTCGGAGCCGCCTGCGAGAAACAAACTGGACGCGTCAGTCATCAGAAGTAAGGTTCCTCTCGCCCAGCACCCCCTCCTCTACGGCAGCTAAGCTCACTGCGGCTGAAACTGGCACTGATTTGGACACGGAAGGGATGACTTCTATTATCCAGCTTCTTCACGGTTTTTGACTTTTGTTTTCACATAAACATCCAAAAGTCCTGCAGCAAACATCATCCCTCAACTCTCACTGAGTTTAAACGGCTAAGGAGACGTTGTTTGTTGGTGGCTTTGTCTGTGGAGGTTGTCATAGCTTTTTATTTTGAAAAATCTCTTTCCGGGGTGACTTGAAAGCATCATTTTGCCTTTGTTTTTCATTATGTTCCTGACAGTCATCAAGTATCAATTAATCCCACTTTTATGTGTTGCCTCTCATGTAGCCAGACCGTTATTAAACAAAAGGTACTCAGTGATGGAGGGCGGCAGGGGCCATTAATCTCTGACTGTCACGACAAGACCAAACCACACCATCAGTCAGCACCATCAGTTCTGACCTCTCCACTGTGTGTGATCCGTGGTCACCGAGCATGTGCTAAGGACAAGAGATGCAAACTGCAGGAAGTGGTAATAAGTGGGGGAAAAAATGCAAAGAGCATCATCAGTTTCATGGCTGACTGGGCAGAAGGATCACAATTTTATTATTATTATTTTTCCCCCATTGTTTGGTTTTCAGACTCATGGCTTCATTTGATGTTTTATAAGGCAAGAAAACAAATATGTGACTTAACAGAAGACTGCAAAAATAAGTAATAAAAGTTTAATAAATGATAAAGAATAAATAATATAATAGCCTCCAATTACACTCCAGGGCTGGACTACATACGTAGAACTACATCCACTAAATATCTGACGTTGGTGTAGTTATCCTTTTTCCTCTTGTGGCTGTAAAGAGCTTCTCTAATTGAAGCTGAAAGCTGAAGTTTTGTCATGACTGGTGATGTTTTGAATATATTTGGACTTGAAAACATTTTTCCACCCTATGCCAATGATAATCAACACTCTTTGTGTCCTTTGGGCTCCTCAGAGCGCAGTCCCAAGTGTCCTTGAATTCCCAGAAAAGAGGTGGAGTGACAAATCTGTAACCAGAACGAAACCGTGATTCAAAGGTCCGCACCAGCATATTCATTTCACTGTGATATGGATCTGTTGATGCCTGGTTAAAGTGTGCTGGTTTGGTCTTTCCAAAATTGTTCTAGTACAAGTGAACACCCGATTAATGGGAGTTTATTTTTTGCTCATAAGCTAATCACAAAGTAGAAGTCTTCTTTTCACTTTCCTCCTATTTAAAGAAAAACTGAGCCCATCTGTGGTTTTACAGAAATGTTACACAGCTGAAGATCATGTAGCGTTTTTATTTCTTCGATGACCCAAGTAACCCAAGTATGTTTTCAGAGTGTTTGAGTAGGAAAATATGAGCATCCATGGCTGGATTACTGAGACGACCCAGCAGGGACACATGAGACTAAACCAGACGCTTTCATACATGTGCCGTAGCCCTGAAATGTTTTTGATGTTTCCTTGTCTGATTCGGTCCATTGGGGTCAATAACCTGCGCCTCTCTAAAACAAATACACGAGAACGGAGGAGCTTTGTTTGCTCTGCTTTCTGCACGCAAACTTCAACCGAACATATTCCCACAAATGAGAACACGTCT